GGGGGGGGGGGGGGGGGGGGGGGGGGGGGGGGGGGGGGGGGGGGGGGGGGGCCCATCTGGGAGCCTCTGCCCGCAGCCTTGGCATGCACAGCGGCCCCCGCCACCCCCTGGCCGCGCTGCCGGCTCTGGCTCAGCCCCCCGCACTCCCCGCCAGCGGCACTCACCGGGCGCGTGGACAAAGTAGGCCAGGTAGAGGTCGAGCTCCTTGATGGTGACACCGATGTGGTGTGGCTGGACGCAGAGGCCGGGGCTGGCGCACTGGGGTGCCTTGGCCAGGCGCTCGCCGTCGGTGCTTTCCAGTGGGACACCCTTGAAGAGGATGACCATCTCCAGGTCCAGGCGCCAGACCTTGTCGGCCTGGCGCAGGCAGTCGATGCGGCGGATCTTGCCCTTCTGGTCGGGGTTGGAGAGGACACAGCAGGGCGCCTTCTTGCCGGTGACGGAGAGCACGAAGTCCTCGCGGCACTCGGGCCGGATGTCCTTGCGCAGCTTGGCCAGGAGGCGCGAGGCCCACTTCTGCTTGACCTCAGGCTTCTCGCCCAGCAGCTCGTCCTTGACAGCGCGCTCCTCCTCCTTCGACATCCGCTTCTCGTGCTTCTTGAAGTACTTGCGCTTGCGGGCCTGCAGGTTGAACCAGGTGTAGGAGAAGGCCCGGACGTGGGGCAGCAGCGCCTCGATGAAGGGGTGGAACTCATCCTGTGGGGCAGGGCAGCATCAGTGGGGCAGCTGCCACGGGACGGCCGCGGCCCCCGGCAGCTCCCAGAGGACCCCCATTCTGCACAGGGAGCTCCTGGGGGGACGGCCCCATCCTGCACGGCAGGAGCATCCCTGGGCACGGCCCCATCCTGCACAGGGAGCTCCCAGGCGGATGCCCGTGCTGTACAGGGAGAGCATCCCCAGACACGGCCGCATCCTGCGCAGGGGGCTCCTGGGTGTGCCACAGTCCTGTGCAGGGAGAGCATCCCTAGGCACGGCCCCATCCTACGCAGGGGACCATCCCCAGGCACGGCCCCATCCCAGCCCCTGGGGGATGTTCAGCTCAGCCCTGGGCATCGCTGGGGACCAGGGATACAGGATCCTGCCCCAGGAACAGCCCTGCGGGGCTGGGGGACCGGGGCAGCCCCGGCCCGGGGGGACCCGTCAGGCTCCTGGTGCGCAACTGGCTCCGGGAACAAGTCGGCTCCTGGCCCGGCACGGCCCCGGTGCCAGTGCGGCCCCGTGGTGCTCTTATGTCCCCAGCCTGGGGGTGGCTCAGCCCCATGTCCCCGTCCCCGCTCAGCTCCAGGTCCCCATTCAGACCCTGTCCCGACCCCGCTCAGGCCCCCATCTTGGTGCAGCCCCGTCCCCATCCCCGGTGTCGCCCCAGCCCTGTCCATCCCCGTCTGTCCTCGTCGGGCTCCCAGTGAAACTCCCGC